GGGCTGGAAAACACACTCAACATCCCCTGCAAAGAGCAGCTCAGATGGTATTTACAATAAGAGGAGATCTGCCCAGTGCTGCTGGATTTGGTTAGACAGGAGTTAATCAGGACTTTTGAGGTCAATGAGCCCAAGCTGAGCCCACAGGTAATGAAACCAAGGTGGACACAGCTTTCCTTAGACTGGAGAAACTCCCCTGGAATAGTTTGCTAGTAAATGGGTGAGACATGGCCATCAGGAGTCTGACAGCATTGCTCCAACACAACCCAGAAATACTCCAACACTTGCATGGACCTCCACTGCACATCTTACCCCAGCCCTGAGGAGCCCTGCTCCCAGCACCACGCAGAGCTTTGCAGGGATCTGTGATGAGACACCAAAAAAACCAGGACTGGTGCGGATGGAGAGTTTGGAAACATGTCCTTGGTGAGTAAACACTCTTTTCCTTAAAACAAAACCAACAGCAAAACAACAATAAAACAATTTATTCACACTCTTGGGAAAATGCTAATTAAAGTTTACTTTAAAATACTAGCAGACACGAGTGTGGGCTGTAACAGGAACATACTGTGAAGTGACAGGTCTGCAATAATCCCATCCCTCAGCCAAGTCTAATTCATTCCCATCACACGAAGGTCCGAAATCCAGGGAGGCTCTTGGAGCCCGAGCATGTGCACTTGTGGGAGGTGCAAGAAGTGTGTCTGCAGTGAGAACAGGTGTGAGAGCAGGGGTTCATGCAGGGGGGTGCCAGGAGCCCAGCTCTGCAGCAAGCACGAGGAAAGCTCTCCCTGCTCTGCCACGGCAGCTTTGCAGAGCCTCCCTCAGGCTCCTTCCAAGCTTTGCCTTGGTCTGGAGCAGCCTGGCCATGGAGAACTGGGAAGAGCCATGGGAAAGGCTATGGAGAGCCCTCCTTCATGCTCCTTCCAAGCTTGGCTTTGGTCTGGAGCAGCCTGGCTGCGGAGAACTGGGAAGAGCCATGGGAAAGGCTAAACATGGCTTGGTGCTGGAGGATGAGGTGCCACGACTGCTTTGCCTCTGACAAGATGGGCACAGAATGGAATAATTCTTTGCCTCTAAGAGCTAACAAACCCCTTGTTCCTCAGGGAGTCCAACACTGCCTTGAAACTCATGAACCAGGCAAAAAAGGTTACTTGCCTCCTTCTTTAAGAAGGCTTTCACTCTTCCAAAGTGATGCTGCTGCCACCTGAACAAACCCAAGCTTTCCAAATGGGAGCAGAAATCTTCCATGCCCCATAAATTATCCAGAGCCAGGTGTTAGGTGAAACACCAGGCACTGGCAGAGCAGGAAAAAACCCTGTGAGGGCAAGACTGAAACGAAAATTAGCTTGTTCTAGTGATGCCCAGCTCCCTTGTTGCTGGCCCATGGCATTTGTGCCCAGATAGGCTAAGGCTGAAGGACATAATTTCTATGGCTCCACACCATGTTCTTCCCTGTTCCTTTAAACTCCTATAACACACTCCAGTTTGAGTAGGGGAAGCTACAGAATGGGATGTATATGATTTTTTTCTTTTATGAGGCTATTTTCTAATTTACAGAGGTCTACTGCTAAAGGAATCAGCATTGCCTTCATTTCAAGGCCCTTCAATAAAAGGTCAAGAACACTGCAGCACACACAGGTCACTGTCCCTTGAGCAGAAGGGTGGCAAAACCACATTTGCCAGCTCCAGGAACGGCTCAGGAATCACATCATGAGTGCAGAACTACCCTAAGCCTGCCTCCACTCACTGGGGATGGCAACGAGGAGAGGCATGCTGCTGTCTTATATATAAAGAGTTCTATTCTCATTATAGTGCAAGGATACCAGAGTTTCATACCTTCTTGACATTTCTTGTAGGCAGCTCCTCTAAGCACTGACTCTTCCTGGTCCTTGCAGCAGCCAACTAATGCCTCACCCCACCAATCCACTCTTTTATAACACTCTTCTTATTGGCTACAGCTGTGGCCTGTTAAAATCAGGCGTGCTCCTAATCTTTAGTAATTGGTTCAGCTGCAACTCTTTAGGGGATAAGATTACATTCTGTACCACCTTCATTTACCCATACTGTGTCCCCCTACAGCATGTTGGATGTGACAGGAAACCATTCCCTCCATTGCCTGCAGCCAGAATTATTTATCCCATTTCACTGGGATCCCACCTGCACTCACCGCAGCACTTTTCTCCTCCTGGAAATTTTTCTCCCACTTTAATTAGATGGGACCAATAAACCATAAGTCAAATGGGTGATTTCACTTTTAATTACATCTTCCAAAAGGTTATAAATAGTTCCATTAAAGCACACACCAACCCCCAGGTGCTTGCCTGTCAAGCTTGGTGCCACCTCACCTCTTGCAGGTCATCCTGCCCAATGCTACACCAGATTTGGGAGCCCAGGTTGCTCCTCACAGCCTTCTGCCCACCTGATCCTGTCAGGATATGACTCACAGCCCGGTGTGGCACTCTGCATTTCAGATGTGGTGGCTGCTCCTGCTTTAACTCACTGACCACCTTACTGGGCACCAAAAGGAAAATGGGAAACATCCCCCTGAGTTATCATAGGGTTGAAGTGGAAATGCTGAGTCTCTCAAGTGCTTGGGAGAATTGTACCATCTATCCAGGCTTGGGACCACCAGAGTGCTGACTGCCTGTCATCCTCTGCACCACTGCACAGAATCACAACTGTGGATGATGTTGTTGGGAAACTATCACCACAGACACCGAGGGGAGAACTCAGCTCACCTTTCCTTCCTCATGCAGCACTAAGGCTTTGACTTCCCTGCATGTAGAGCTGAGGTCCCACTTCACCCTCCTGCCCCATCCATCTGTGCTCTGGACACACAGCAGGGACAGATCTGTGCTCTGTGGTTTAGCACAGAACTGGGGAGAGCTTGCTGAGCCCCCAGGAACGCTCTCACCTCCTGTCCTGAGCAGTGTCACCTGGCACTGAGCCCCCTCAGCTGGCACTGAGCTCCTGTGCCTGCCACACAGGAGCGCTCTGAGATAATTCCCTGGTAAAGCTTCCTGTGAAATCCCTGAGAGATGAATCCCTGTGCTCCCTGAGAGATGAATAAATCTAAACCCTAAAAACGAACCCAACAGATGGGAAGCAATATAATGAAGGAGGATTATTTCCCACAATACCTCCAGCTTCCTCCTTGGCCCTCGGAAGAGTTGAAAAACAAGGTCAGTGTAAATACTTCTGCATCCCAAAGCTGTTTAATAAAAACATCCCCAAGTTTACCAGACTGCTGCTTAGCTCTGACATCTTCCTAATTGGAGAGCAGGAACTTCAGGGTAGCTAGTTCACTCTGATCAGAGTTTCTGGCCAAAAATCTGGGCCAGATCCACTGTTGCATTTGCTGGAATTTGACTTTTTCCATATTAAGAGTCTCCTCTTAGTGCTGAAGCTTTGCATTTGAACATAAGCAAACATCAAGTGTGAACTGCAAGCCCTGGGGATTCTCCTTAGAGGAGTGGTTAGATATCAAAGAAACATTCCAGCACAAGCCTTGTGGCCATTGGGTGACATAGACTGTGAGCACCAAAAGCCAAAGGAGCCTGATCCGTCAGTGACACTCAGGGATGAGCAGTGTGACCACTCAGCTCAGGGCACAGCCAGATCTGGCCTGATGCACTGATCTTGCACAAAAGAAGCAGCATTTGCACCGTGATCCCTGAGCTATGTGAGCCAGACTGAAAAAGCTTGAGAAAAACCCAGTCTTCAAGTTTAACAAGCAGATGTAGTGTCTAGAAGCTGAAGAAGAATGTCTGCATCCTTCAAGCAGAGAGTGGAGAGACAGCTGCCATCAGCATCCATGGATGCTTCCCACTAAAATACCTTTAAATAGCAGCTTCTGTTCAGTATCCCACAGAAGACAACAGAGCTAAAATATCTTAATAGAAGGGGATTTTGTTTTGGTCCAAACATCTTAATTTCAGATTTAGCAAGTGGCAAGCTGTGTGTCAGATACCACTCAGACAAAACCTGTCTTAATTTAGAGTTGATACAACATTTCCAACCTCAGGAAAAACAAAATCTCCTCACTTACTGCCAATCTGCGCCTTCAAGACCAATGGCCAGCACCTGAAAAGCTCCAGGTTTGAATTGGGATTAATCCACCACAGGAGAGGAGGGAAGGGAAAATAAGAGATCTATGTCCCAAACTTAAGACCCCTTGGAAAGGTGTGGAGGAAGAAAAAGTAAGGGGCTACAAAGTGCCAGCCCCCACATGCCTAGTGCAGGGCAGGTGAGTGCAGCACAAGGATCTTTCAGGGGAAAGGAGCTGGGGACTGATGGAGAGGAAAAATATCCCCACCTGCCAGCCCTTTACACATTCTGCAGGTGCTATAAAGCTACAGAAAGTGCTGGCCAAGGCAGGACAGTCTGGAAAGGGATTCATCCCCCCAACTCACACATCCTGTCCCCCTCCCTCTTTGCCCTGAGACAGAGCTGTCAGCAGCTGGTGAGCAAACACTCTGCTCTCCTTCACAACAAAACCCAGCCACCCTCACACTCTGCACTGCCTTGAAAAATCCCTCCAAAGCTGACACAAGCCCTCAAAGAGCAGCAAATGAGCTGGAGCCCGCTGGAGCTGGGCAGCAGCACCCTGAGGCTCCAGCCTCACACCCAGCTGGGGCTCTCTCCCAGCTCCCTCTTCCCTCCTGCACATCCCTGGGTATGTGGCCCTAAGCATGGACTCCTCTTTCTGCCCTCCTGCAACTTTTAATCCTTTCCCCCTCTGCAGTTTTTGGTGTATCCAAGTTGTTTATGGCTACTCATAACTATCTGTAGTTCATGATTAAATAGCTTATGACTCTAAGGACAGGTAGTGCACACACCTTCAGGCACTTCTAGCAGTGAGGGGACAGGATTTATTTCAAGGCAAGGCAATCTCCAGTTTCCTTGAGCAATGTTATTGCATTCCAGTGTGGAATTTTTGAGTCTTAGTGAAGAAACACATGGAGAAATGCCTTTGGGTAAAAAAGTAATGAGTTACACACCTGCGTGGATTTCTGAAAGGCAGACATCACCACTCCAGGCTTTTAAAGGCTGTGGTCTCCAGTTCAAGAGCAGATTGCTCAGGTAAGGGAAAAAGCCCTCATCCTCTCCTTCAAAATCATGGACTGCTGGTTCAGAGTTTCAATATAAGCCTTCAGATAAAGGTGGTGTCCTGGAAATTCAAAGGACAGAGCAAAAGCTGCAGCTGACAAAGTACATGAACTGAACTCATGCAAACTGTGGCATTTTTACCTTCAAAGAATGATCTGTACCCTCCTCCAAATTTCATCCCCATTAGTTACATGTAGTACTAGCTTCAAACATACAACATTGCTCAAATTCCAATTATTTTACATATTAGAAGAAAAAAAAAAACCCTTTGTGTGCAACCCAAATTATGCATGAAAACTCATAGCAAAACTAATTTCTTAGCAGGTTCAAAGAGCATGATGGGAAAAAACAGGCAAAAAAATTGACATTTTGTTTAATCTGTGGGTAAATATTCTTAGCCTGCTTTTAACCATTCGCTTCCAAGTTTTGTAAAAGGACTAGGAAAGTGCTCAAATGCCTGAAGTTTGTATTTTTTCCAGTGAGAAGGTCATATTTTTTAATCTTTTTTAATATATCACCTTAACTATCTGGTCATCTAAACAGGTACTTGTCCTTTCCCTCTCCCAGAAGAAGAGGACAAGCTCTGTAAAGCTGAAGCTGAAGCAGCACGTGAGCATGTGGAACAAAACTCTACAACTGCACAGCCCACACATCATCCTCCTCAGAAACATTGCAAAAATATTCCTTTCCAGTGCCACAAAACCTCCAAAACTTGGGTTCTGGCTTCATTTTGGACCAAAATCCTGTAGTCTAATATTGCACATTTTCTAGCATGATTTTCTAGCTAATTTCCCCCGGCTCAGGTATTTTCTTGCCAAGGTTTGGTGAAGGCTTACCTGGCCTCCCACTGCCTTTTTCAGGGAGAAGGGAAGAAAAGGATTGGTCTGTTAATTCCAGTTGCCACAGTCAAGAGCAGGAGACAAAATTTCTTGAGAAACTTCCAATGGCAAACCTTTTTCTTGAATATTCTCTCTGAATATTGCTGCTGGCATTCTGCGCAGCTTGGAGGTCCAGCCCACTGTCTGTGCTCAGCACCCAGCATTCCCTCTTGGAGAAGCACAGGAAGGCAGAGGAGAGGGCTCTGCAGATCATATCCTACAAAGGAAGCACAGTTAAATGCTGATAGGAACAAAAGCTGCTCTCAGAAGGACGTTCTGCCCTCGATTCCATCAGAAAGGACTGAGCAAGCAGGGTTTGACAGAGCAAGAGGAAAATCAGGATCATCCAAGTCAGACAGAAGTGTTGGCAGCTATTTTCTTCCTACTTTTGATGGCTCTCAGCTATTGTCATACCTGGAACCAAGTCAAAAGCATGCTTATCCTGCTGTGCAAAGCTGTTTCTCTCAGCCTCTATAATAAATCAGGGGCATTAGCAAACTTCTTGGGCAGGTTGCAAAAAGGCACCATCCCATATTTAAAATGCACCAACATCCAGCTGAGGTCAGTCATGTTTCCTTTTAATTTTGATTGCTTAATTTTAAGGCAGCTGAGCTCTCCCCTCTTCCAAGACTGCTCATGCCAAGCAGTGAATTCCCTGCTCTCCTCCTGGCCTCAGCAGGATGGAGGAAGCTCCCTGAGCAGCAGGCCCTCAATGGCTCTGGAATGTCACCTGAGCATCTGCTGCACAGGGATCTGGTCAAAGGTGAGTTTGTGAGACCAACTGGTCTCACCTGAGATTCTCTCTGCACAGCAGAGACCTCACAGCAATGCCACAATGCTCCTCACCTTAACATCACAGGGAAATTTAAACAGGAGCAGTGTCTAAAAGAGGCTGCAAATTTTCCTCTCTATTAACACTGTCACCATGAAGTGCTGGGCTTCATTTTTATAGATATTTGAAACAATATTTCAAATCCATTTTCAGCCAAAACAGTTTACACATGCCTATACCTCCCTACCAGTCATGCACTCTGGAGGTAAAATAGTTCATCAGGTCTTCCAGTGAAGTTTAGAAAGTTTGAACAGACCCTTTGAGGGAAGTAGGAGAGTTCTGCATAATTTGAAAAAAGACAGAGAAACAAAAAAAAAGTTTGTGAATTTTGAATTTTGTAAATTCTGTAATGGAGGAAAATATGGTGATCCAACACCAGCTATGAACAGTCAAAACAATGTTGAACAATTCTGAAAAATGGTGAGGCATAAACCTTGGACTGCAAGAGGGTGGTGAACACTTTCCTTTGGGATGGAGGCAACCATCCTTTGCTATTGCTCAGACCTGGGTAATTTAAGTGAGTAGAGAAATCTACAGCTCAAAATAAAATTAGACAAAATGGCTGAGGAGAGTCTTGACCTTTCTATGTCCGTTTTTCTGTGAAATTTGTGAACTTTATTGGAGGCCACTTCCTGCATTCACAGAACGCTTCTTTTCTTCATTAATACCCCAATAAGTCTGCAGAACCATGTGAGAGCCAGAGCTGCTAAAGACCTGCTTTTAACCATTTCCTTTCAGATAAATGTCACCATCAGCTCAAAGGCAGTTATCGGAAATCAGCCGAAATCTTCTGCCATCTCCTCAAGGGCTTTTCCCCCCAATGAGGAGCAGCACCATGAACAGTCACGTAACCAACTGCTGACAGGAGGAGATGAGGTCTTTCAATAGATTGGCTATGTCATTCCAAGTCCTAGCTCCATAGCACTAACTTTAATTGCCAGATAATTTCCACCTGCTCCTCTAAAATTTTGTATGAATATACAGGAGATTTCCGCTATGAAGTAGCTTTCGACACCATATGGGAGACTAAGTTATTCCCATTTCAAAGATGAGTTTGTGAGACCAAGAAAAACAGCTTGTTGACACTTGAAAATTGACTAGAGGAACTTTTCTGGATGCTCTTAAGCTAGAATACGAAAATGTATTAAGTCAAGTTAAAATAAATCAGCTTCTATTCCAGAATGAGTGCTATTATATTTTATTCAGTGCCTCAGTTTTTATGGTTCTGTTTTATATCTGTGAGAGTCCAAAGGCTCTCAAAGGCCACTTTAAGTGACTTTACTAGGTCAGGCTCTTGAAAAGAGGCTGAAAGGCTGCAGCCTTGAGACTTACTGGAGCTCCCAAAAGGCTGATCCCCATAGCAGAAACCTGTGGGGTGGATGGAGTATTCCCTGGGCTGTGAACAGGTAGGAAGAGCTGCACATCTCAAGACAAGATAATTTTAAGCACCACACTTGAGGGGCAGTGGCCCCAGCTCAACAAAAGGACCAGGAAACCATCACTGAATGATGAGGATGGAGGTGTCTTATTTTACCTCCTCATAAGTCTGCATTCACTCCTCAGTGCAGCACTTTGATCTTTCAAATCAAGAACTTGGGCATTGAAGAATTTCTGCTTAGAAAAAGAAAAAAAAAAGGAGAAGGAGAAAGTAAAACCAACAGCTTTCATTCAGTATCTCATTGTTAAGGTATTTTTACCCAACATGGGTAAAATTTCAGCCTCTTTCTAAAGATGAGGTGAACCTTTTCTGCAGAGTGACATTGTCACCTTTTCTCTCATCCAGGAGAAAAGGATACTTTTCCTGTGGAGCCACCAAGGCTGCTTTTCCTGTGGAGCCACCATCCCTCAGTGAGACTCTAACATGGAACATGAGCACTCATCATCCAGACAAACAAGGGCAATGTTTGCAGAAGGCTGAGAAGCCCAAAGCTGTCAGAAAAAATGACTGAAACTGTGGTGGCCAAGTCCCTTGGACACTCTTCTCAGAGGAGCACCTATGGATGCCAGAATGGAAACACCCTATGGATGCCATAGATCCAGCCTATGAACACTCTGCATTTCAACCACCTGATTAACTAAAACCCTTGAGGACACTCCTCTTCAGACCTCATTTGTGTGTGACCATCCAGCAGAGTATCTGTTGATGGAGTCTAGATCTTCTTCTCTCTACAAAGGAAAAGTGTGATGGATTTTATCCCAAGAGGATTAAAGCCAGGTGCTCCACAAGCAGCAGAATCCCCAGTCACACCCACCAAGATCTATTACCTCTTATTTAAGTGGATTTTCTTTTAATTACCAGACATTACCTGACAATTACTCAGGCATGGTTTTCTGCACATACCTGGACCAAAGCTTGGCCTCTTCAGCACAGCCATGGCAGCTTCCCTGCCACATCCACATTCCTCTCTCCCCAGCCCAAACTGCAGCACCCAAAACCTCAATGAAGACCGCCCCCCCCCCCCTTGGCTCTTCTCCTCCCAAGGGATCCTGGAGGAAAGCTCTCCCTTGGTCCCAAGTGATGCACAGCCTTCTCTCCACTAAGGCACTGCACTGCCATCCCTTGTCCAGGCCCTTCTGCAGTCATGTCCCTCTTCCTATCCTTGGCAAGTCTCAAGCCATGGCAGGGAGCACCACACCATATTTTACCTTCCAAGTTACCTTCAGACCCCAGCCTTGGCCATTCACACCCACCATCACTCCTGCCACAAGAGAGACTTTGAATCTTGTTGAGCCCAAACAGGACAATGCTAACAAAATACCAATATTAGAAATGAGTGACTCTGTTTGGAGCCCAGCTCCTTCCTTGATAAGCACCTAAAATATTATCTCATTGCAAGGCCTGTGCTGTGTTTCCCCCACTTAGTGCAGTGACAAGGTGAGTTCATAGCTGCCAGAGCTGGGATCCAGTGCCTTGGACCAGGTACTTCCCCTGGGCATTGTCTCTGCAGACACCTCTGACTGCAGCCATCCTCATGCTTACCCACAGATACAGGCCAGCTCAACAGACACTCCAACCTCACAGGTACCATTTCTGGGGAGGAAACTGATTCTGGGCACCTAAATTTTGTTTATCCCCAAGAATCAAACTTAAGCATTGCTTCTCATCTTTCTTCCTAACTGAACTTTCTCTCTAAGGGCAAAAGAGCTGGGGAAACCTGTATTGTCCCTTGGGCTGTGTCAGATTTTCAGCCAGGAAAATTTTTAGCCAGGAAAGCCCAGGACAGCATCTCCCTGCTCGAAAACCTGGCCAGGAAAGCCCAGGAGAGAGACCAGAGCTATCAGCATCCTGATCTCCCTCTGAGCTGTCAGTCTGGTGGTGTTTTCTCCCCATTTAGCACTACAGCACTGCTGACATATTTCACATGACACACTCTGCAGCTAGATGCCTCAGTTTCCCATTTGCTGTCACACACAGATAATCCCGAGTGGAAAAAGAAAAGAAAAAAAAAAGGTTAGGGAAGAAATGAGCCAGCAAAACCTGAGGAAAACAGAGCAGGGGATGCCTGGGGGGAGCAGCTGACAGCAGAGGGATCAGAGGGAAACAGAGGAAACACAGGTGGAGTGGGACTGCTGGGACGGCTCCATCACTGTCCCTTGGACAGCGCTCAGCCCACTGACTCTTTGGAGGTTTTCCAGCAGGGAGATGCTGTCCTAGAGCCTGGAGCAAAGCTCCCACGGGCAGGAGGAGCAGCAGCGGTGCCGCAGGTTCAGCGCCGGCCGCGCTTGCCAAAGCCGGCTGGGGAAGCTCGCAGAGAGCGCCCCGCACTTTGCCTGGCTCCAGGCAGTGCTATTAGTCTCGCTGCTAATGAGCATTAACCACCGGCACACAAACAAACACGCCAGGCGTTTCCATACAGCCGCCAGTCTGATGGAGCAATCGACGCGAGCTTGAGCTGCTCCTTACATAAGGATGCGTTCTGGGAGGGGACCGGGCTCGGCTGCTGCAGCAGGAAATTCCGTGAGAAATTACACAGAAATTTTCTGTGCTTCTGCTGCTCAGAAAAAAGAGCAAAACTTTAGTGTTCCTCAATTAAGCCAATCGTTAATGTATGGGGATGGGGGACAAAAAAATGAAATTAAAAAAAAATTAAAATCTTGCCTGAGAAGCTTCTGCTTGAAACAGAGGCAGGCTCTTGACCAAAAAGCATCCCTTGTTAGAAAGGCGTCAGGAGGTAAAAGGAAGCTCTTTTCTTTTTGAATTGTTACTTTTTTTCCTCTTACGTTTTTTCTTCAAGACTAAATCCCAGGGATCTTCAAACCAGCTGCATGAGGGATGCAGCAGCATCAGCTGAGGGGTTCCCATGGTACAGCCAGCAAAGGATCATTTCTTTGCTACCTACACACAAAGCAAGGCAGTTGCTGTCCTAGCAGGAGGGTTGGAACATTGTTTGGGGGCCTGAAACTGGAACATCTCAGGGTTGGAATTATGTTTTGCCTTTTCATATCAGCACAGCAAAGCGTAGAGGTAGCTAGAAAATATTGCATTGCCAGTTTTGTTGCCCCTTTTGCTTCACAGGGATCTCAAAAGACAGGGAAAACACCAGGTAGCAAGCAAAAAGGAAAAATAAAGCCATGGAAGGAAGCAAATCAACAGGCACTGAGTAGGCTTTTGTTTTCTTTTTGGGGTGGGTGAATGGGAAAAAATAAAACTCATAAGTCAACATTTTTTAGAAGTCCAGCCTTTTAAAAACGCTGCACATTTCTGTATCTGCAGAACGAAGCACCAGTTCAAGCCAACCACAAACTAGTCTGATACGATCTGCAAAATTATTTTTCTACTTATCTTGATGAGTGCTGACTAATTAGCATGACAGCAGCTGAAAATATGGGTTTGTGTTATCCCAGCCCTTCACAAGGCCCGGGGCCAGGTGGGTGAGCCACCCTCGTGCCCTGCAGCAGTGACCTTTGCTGGGGTGGGATGGGGACACACAAAGCAGGGGACCAGGGGTTCTGCAGGGGGCTGGGGAGATGAACCACACTCTGCCAGGATTTACTGTCTCCCCAGGGTGAGACGGGGCTCACCTGCCTTGCACACTAATAAGTGAATATGATCTGCATGAAGATTTGAATAAATCTTACCCTGATTTAAGCTACTTTTTTACCATTAAACTTGTCCCTTTGTGGTGTTCTCAGACTGCTTGGTCTCCCACAGCCCATTTCAGGTCTGTCCTTCTGTACTTCTTAGCGCAGCTAGATAAAACTAGTGTGGGGAGTGAAGGTGGTGGAGTAATTTTTTTCACCTTTTAATTTTGGGTCAATCAAGTTATAGAATGACTTTACTCAAGTCAAAAACTCCCCTGAGCCAACGTGGG